GCCCATATCAGGACCGTCACCACTACTACAGAACCCAGGGCCATTCTGCCAATATCAGGTAGATGGATGTCATGCTCACTTGACTGCAGGATGCTTATTCAGAATTGCCAGCACTTCTCAGACCCTTACCTCCCTCTTCCTGTCCTGTCATGGGTGGTCACAGCAACCTTTCCCTTCCTCCCATGCACAGATTCTCTCCTTTGCATTCAATATTCAGTCCACATATTTTTAGTCATTTCTGTGTTCCGTACTCTTGCCAGGAAGGGACACTCTCTCAAAACTAAGCAACTCCATACAGTTTAACACTCTTATTGATACATTTTTGGCTCTATATCCCAGATTCCATTTGTTCTCCTATGAATCTTAACCACAAACTCCTATTCACTCTCCTTTCTAAGGGACCCCTATATGCTCCATAGCATACTTATCTAAACAGGTCTTGGGAGTGGCAGCTTTCTTAGCACCCGAGACAGAAAAATTCACCCAGAACCAGCATATAAGCATCTCATTTCAGCCCACAATCTAGCAAAAACAAGTCATTTAACACTCTTGGCCTTCTTCCTACATGAATTCAATAACGTTGCACACACTTTTTTCCTACACATTCTTTTTTTATAGTGTGTTTTTAAGTAGTTGTACAAGGGAGTTTCCACTCAAGAAAACAGTTAATATAATGCATCTTGGTTAATGTCATCTCTTCCATCACTTTCTCTCATTTTCATATACTCTGTGTCTAATCCTCTCATCCCTTTCAGTGCTGCAGAGCTCTCAACCTTGCTGCAACTCTACTCCTTGTTCCACATACACACATAGAGTCCCAAATCTGTCCACACTCTTATTTGAGGACCATAGAATACTCCACCCTTATCTTTGCACATCTCTTCTTGGACCTCCTTCTCTATATCCTCTTGTGCTTCATAGGTAGATGTGCCTTCAAAGTCCCAAAGCCAGCCGTAAGTAGTGCTACATTGACCACTCCTTGCATTCTCCATTAGAAGACTCAGTGCCCTGCCTCCAAATACAACATCCCAAACAGGAAGAATTGATTACTCTCACTAGGGCATTGGTTTTGGCAAAAGACAAAAAAAAGTTACACACACACACACACACACACACACATACACACACTCATGTGTGTGCATATATCTATATATATCTATATCTATCTAGCTAGCTATCTGTTTAGATAGATCTGTTTAGATAGATACATATATCTAGACTCCAAATATGCATTTCAGATAGTACATTCTCATGCTTTTACCTGCCAGGAATGAGGATTTTTTTAAAAAATTTATTTATGTGGTACTGAGGAATCAAATTCAAGGCCTCATGCATGTTAGGCAAGCACTCTACCACTAAGCCACATTCCCAGCAAGGAATGAATTTTTTTTTTTTTTTGTCAGTCATGGGGCTTGAACTCTAGGCCTGGGAACTGTCCCTGAGCTCTTCATCTCAAGGCTAGTGTTCTACCACTTGAGCCACAGTGCCACTTCCGGCTTTTTCTGTTTATGAGGTGCTGAGGATTCAAACCCAGGGCTTCATGCATGTGAGGCAAGCACTCTACTGCTGAGCCCCGTTCCCAGCCCCAGGGATGAGGATTTTTAGCTACTAAAGGAACTCCAATTGCAAATGGTGCTCTAATCCATCAACTGTTGGATGTGCTTAACCTTCCCAAACAGGATGCTGTTGTCCATTGTCAAGGACATCAAAAGGTCACCGACTTTATTAGTACTGAGTGGGTAGATACTGCAGCAAAATCTTTTGTATATATCGTTCCCTGGTTTGGGCTGCCCTCATCTTTGCAATGAGATAATGGCTCTGATTTTGTCTCTGCTGTTCATCTGCCACATTGCCAGACACTTGGTATTAAGAGGGCATTCAGCATTTTATACTGACCCCAGTCTTCCAGCAACAAAACTCTCTTTCCTTGAGGCAGCAAAAGTTCAGAGACACATCTCAGAAAACAATTAGCCAGTTCCTGAACTGAAAGTCTTCCATCTTTTTTTATTTCTTCTTCTTTTTTTTTTTTTTTTTGGTTGGTTGTAGGGCTTGAACTCTGGGCCTGGGTGCTGTCCCTCAGCATTTCAGCTCAAGGTGAATGCTCTACCACTTGAGCCACAGTGCCACTTCCAGTTTTCTGGGGTTTACTGGAGATAAGAGTCTCACAGACTTTCTGGCTGGGGTGGCTTTGAACTATAATCCTCAGATCTCAGCCTCCTGAGTAGCTAGAATGACAGGTGTGAGCCACTGGCACCCAGTTCTTTAGCATTTTTAATAATGTTGTTCGGTCCATGCCTTAGTAACCTTGCCACAAAAATTTTCCCGCCAATTATGATTGTTTCTTAGAGTAGCACTGAAAACCAGGGACAACTCCTGAAAAGACATGACCATCACCAGGTCCCTCAGCTCCTAAGGCTGACCTTGGGGATGGACTAGTCCCTTGACCTCCTTTTCTCCAAACTGGATGACACCCTTTCTTTGCAGGAAGTAGAAAGAAGAGCCATCACTGCTCAACATACTCCTTCCTCCTTGTCATCCCTGGAAGTCATCTCTCCTCCCCTCCCTTAAGCCCATCCAGTAACATACTTGATTTCCCCTATAAATATTCTTCAGTCTGTAAGTGACTGGGTTCTTGCTCTTCTCTGGAGACCCCCTCTATATTCTTTTCCCCTGAATAATCTTGTAGTTTTGTCAAGCCATGTCTTTGCCTATTTTCTGAACTGCCAAAGACATTATTATGGTGAACAGATACTGTCTTAATGATCTTATTTTGGTGCCTTTTTAGAGACAAGATTCCTAAACAATTAGCAGACTTGGAGAGACAGTGGGTCCCCCCAACTCTTCCCCACAAGGCCAATGGTGTTTGGAACCCCTATCTCTTCCCCTGGTAGAGCTGAATAACTAAACTGGGGTCTCTCTTCTTACCCTGGTCCAGCTATTGTTGGAGACAATATTGTTGGAGAGAGGAGAATGAAGTAACAGCCCAGGAAAGGAAAGGGGGTCTCCTGGCTACTGGCCACCTAAATTTTTTTTTTCCCCAGCCTCCTCTACCACCATACCATGATGGAGAAAAAATAGAACCTCCTCATGGCCGAGAAGGCTGGCAACTCATTAGCACTTTCCACAGGGGGAAATGGCAGAGGCTGGTAGCTTGAAAAGTGGAGCTGAAGACACCTGATAGGAATTCTGAGTCCAGATACAAGGCAGAAGCAAGTCAGCAACTCTTTAGCCTTTGGAGCAAAATTAGCCATGTACAATCAATATTTTTCATTTACTTTAAAATACACTTCCTCTTTTTTGCTTTTAGCTTCCATATGGCTTTGCCATCACTGTAAAGTCCTGTTTTTCTTGAAGATTTCAGCATGGAAATTTTTGCTTTAAAGTTTAAAAATATCATATGAAAATGTTTTTTGCTGGACACTTACAACCCTAGCTAATCAGGTTTCTTAGATACTAGTATTAAGGATCAATGAATGCCAGACTGATCAGTAAAGGCCATGCAAGCCTTATGTCCAGTTAGCTACCAAAATAAAGATGGAAGTGGAACTGTGGCTCAAGTGGTAGAGCAAAAAGCTTAGGATAGGGCCCCGGCCCTGAGTTCAAGACTCTGGATTAACCCCAAAATGTTTAAATGTTATTTTTATTCTTGCAGGAATTTTGTTTTGTTTTGTTTCACTCTTTAATCTGTGCCCTGGGCAAGTGCCTGTTTCACCTTAGTCCTGATTGGGACAGTGGAGGAAATTCTCTGCTTGTGGTCTTTTGCCTTATCAATCGCAGCTAAGACCAAACCTAAGTATAATACTGCAATATAAGTCAATTCAGTGTAACTAAAACCCCTATTTGCTATTGGATTTAAAACAGGTAGCCCACCTGAAAAATATAGTTAAGTATAAATTAGGATTAAATGACTTCACAAAGTTTCCTACCTAAAAAGGCATGTTTTTTTTTGTAGAAATGACTACCTTTAAGCAATCTGAATTTAAACTTTCTTTTTGATGACCTGAGCTTAAAAACTTTCTTTTTGATGACCTGAGCTTAAACGTTTGAACAAGACTGTTTATAAACAGGAACTGACTAACTTTAATCCAATTTAATAAATACATGTATAAATACTATGGATATATGGAGTTGTGGTTAGATGTTTTACTGGACAGATGTAGGGATTACCCTCTGTACATCACCTTTAAAATAATAAAAAGAAAAAATAGGGGTCATTATTTAAATCACAAAGAACTCATCAGTGGTATTGTGAATGGAGAAAACTTGGGGAGACTGAGGGAGAGGTAATTTTGCTTTTTCAAACAGTTGAGGGACACTTCTAATAGTCGTTAATTGCTGGGGAGTGAACATTTATTGGGTATCTATCCAGCCAGGAGCTTTACACCAAGGATTATGTATCATCCTGGCAACGCTACACAACAGCCATCTTTTGACTCAAATTTCCCTCCCTCAGCGTTTCACAACCCTCTGGAATAATAAATATTAATAAATAAATAAAATAATAAATAAAATATAAATAAAAACCTATTAATAAATAAAAACCTATTCAACTTTTCACAGTTCGTTTTGTAGGCTTCATAGGCTGAAAACTGGCCAGAGCAATTGAGCCGCAGCCTCCAGTACAGACTGTCTCGAGTGGAGGAGGGAGGGTAAGGAAATGCCCCCGAAGATCCTGGCTCAGCTAAGGAGAGACCTCCTAGAGTCAGGGTTCCTGCAAGGGAAAACGCGGAGGAGGCCAGGGTGCCGAGGCATTTTTAGGGTGAGATTTGGCAAGAGGCATGGAGGCGTGAAAATAGGTAGGACGGGCGGGTTTTGGAGCTGGAACGTCAGGGGAGATCAGGAGACGTGTGCGATCCGCAGAACAGGACCGCAGGAGGCAGCCCCGACAGGGCGGGGAACCGGAGCAGGACACCCAGCAGCGCCCAGCGCGGGGCGGGGATGGTGGGCGGGGCCCCAGGGTGGGCGTGTCCTACAGGCGGTTACATAACAAACCTGTGCGGGCGTCCCGCGCGGCGGGGCGGGGCCGGGGCGGGGCCAGGCTAGGCTGCACCGGGCTAGGCAAGATGGCGGCTATGGAGGCTGAGACGGCAATGACGATGACCCTGGAGTCGCTGCCTACAGATCCGCTGCTTCTTATCTTATCCTTCTTGGACTACCGGGACCTAATCAAGTAATGGGGCAGTGCGCTTGGCAGGGGAGGGAACTAGAGGAGGAGATGGCCAGGCGGGACGGGAGGAAGCCGGGCCCTCAGAGTGGATCTTGGCACCCTGCGGCAGCTTAGAAGGTGACACCGGGTCCGTCCTCGTCCTGTTAGCGCCACCCCTCCCCGGGGCGGGGGGTCGGGGACCCGGAGGACCTGGCTCGGGGGTCTCCTGTCCCATCCAGGCCTCAGCGAGGCCCGGTTGCCCCCGAAGGGAGTTAGTGCTGCCCCCCACCCCCACCCGGCTGCGCCCGCGGCCCTCTCCCGCCCGTCCGTCCGCCCGTCCCCGCCCGGGACGCTGGGAGTCAACCCCCTCTCCCGGCGCGCGCTGGTGTCTGCTGGGCCCCAGGCCTGGGATCCGGTGCCGGCGGCGTGGGCAGGTCGACGCGCGCCCAGTGGAGGCGGGGGGGGGCACCCCTGAGCCCGGCTGGGTGTCACCCCGCTTCGGGACCGCCCGCGGGGGCCTCGCCGCGTCACTTCCACGTTGGAGAGGCGTTTGGCTCTCCACCCTGCCTGCTCACGGCGGGGTGGGGGGCGGATTTGGGTGCTTGGGTACTGACTTCCGGTGGGGAGAGGCGGTGGTACAGGTAATGGATTGCCATAAAGCGCTGGGTGTCTGGTTTAAACAAAACAAAAACCACACAGACAAAAAGACAGTTAAATATGGACCAGGTCTTTTCAGAGATTGGGGCTGCCCGGGATGGGGTGCTGTCTGCCTTCCTGGCCCCGCCTTGTGTGTCAGGATTGTTTACCTCCTTGACAACATGGCTCTACATGGCTTTGCAGAGCAGGCGGCGGAATACCTAGACCACCCTCCCAGCCCCCCTCTCCACCTCTGATACGTTATCGCCAGAGTGATTTCCCCAAAATAGATCAGTCATTCTTAAAAACCTATGATACTCCTTATTTACAGACTGGACATTAAGCTTGTGTGATGTTTGCAGCTCTTATCATCTGGCTTATTATCTAAGGCCTTTCAAGCCTTACTTCTCCTCCACTATCATTTGTGCACAGTCTAGCCTAGCCAAATCTGACTTTATCCAACATACCACACACACTTGCACTTTTTTTTTGTTGTGTGGCATAATTAAGCTCGACCTTGCTTGTAAACCTTGCCTCCCCTCTTCCCTACCTGGCTTGGTGAATTCCTTTAAGATGCCACTCTGTACTTTCTTCCTCCTTTTGTGGAATTTACTTGGCATACTGGACAGATTTATGTTTCTGGAAGATGAGGACTGTCCTGTTTGGTTTTGTATTCATCAAGTATTCAATAGATTGGTTTTTGATGAAACTGGAGTTTGAACTGTGGTGGGGTTTTTTTTGGGGGGGGAGTTTGACCCAGTGCTGGTGACTCACCCCTGTAATTCTAGCTACTCAGGAGGCTGAGATCTGAGGATTGTAGTTCAAAGCCTGCCAAGGCAGGAAAGTCCATGAGTCCCTTATCTCCAGTAAACTACTCAGAAAAATCCAAAAGTGGTGCTGTGGTGCAAGTGGTAGAGTGCTAGCCTTGAGCACAAAGAGGCTCAGGGACAATGCCCAGGCCCTGAGTTCAAGCCCCGGGACTGGCAAAAAAAAAAAAATTAAATTCACTTGGAAGGTACTTTACCACTTGAGCCAGAGCTCTAGTTCTTAGGGCTTTTTCCCCCTAATTGTTTTTCTGCTTTTTGAGTGCCTGCTGTGTACCTGATGTTAGGGATTAGTGAAGAAGGCAGATACAGTCCCTCTCATGGAGTTTATAGACTCATACAAGAAGATGGAAAGACAGTGCTTATTGACGGGGTGCTAAATGTTATGAACAAAATAGATGCTCTGTTAAGGAGTGGGGACTGAGGAACCACCAATCACAATGGAGGAAGCTGCCATATAGGAAGCACAGCATAGTACCCTCCTCACACAGTGAACAATGCATTTACAGTGTGCTGGGACTACTCAACAGCATGGCCCATTGGAGAATGGAGAAGGCTGGTATGGCTGGAAGTAAGGAGTGACTAAATACAAGGGATACACAGGCAGACTTGCTTGAGGTCAGGCAGGTAAAGTCATGTTGGGCCTTGTAAGCTAAGGTGAGGATGACAGATTGTATTTTAAATGCTTTAGGTAGTAATCACAGTTTTAAGCTGAATTGACATGACTTCTTCATAAGTATCTGTGAAAATCAATAGAATTGAATACAAATTAATTTCATTTGCAGTCATATCTAGTATACTGAAGCTTCTTTCTACACAATACAATGCAGTCTTCACTTGTGCCCAGCCATTACCAAGTCCTCATAGTTTAGGTACTTATTTACTCAATTGTGTTGAGCATATTACTCAACTGTGTTGGACTGGAATAATAATCCATTGGGATTTTGTTGTAATATTAGTGGCAAAGTTTGAATCTGAGATAGCATGATGACTTTTCTCTCCCAGAGTGATTTATTGCATACCATTTCTATTTGCACTGTGTCTCAGTATCATCTGTGACACTCATTAAGCATAGAAATACCTGAGGTACAGATCTTACTCAAGTGAATTGAAATCTTATCTTTAGAATAGTAGTTTTTAGCCTCCATATGCATCAAAATTACATTTGGTGTTTGTTCCAGATTCTTTTCTGTTTAACTGCAGGGGCAGTGGAGAAAGAAGAACCAAGAAGAGAGGAAATAAAACCTGAATTTCTAAAACTAGAGAGATTCTTAGGTTTACAAAATTTACTTTGAGTTTCTCTTGAATTTATACAAATATGAGGATGCTGCTTCTATAAAATCTGAAAACCAAAGCCTAACTTGTTAACATATCCTGCCCATGGCCTTGACAAACCCTCTGTGATTGAAGATTCTGTTGCCCCAGTGAGATCATTGACTGTTTACTTTCTGTGACTTGTGAGTGATTCCTTTTCTGAATGATTAGCAATGTTCTTTCCTAGCCAGGCACTGGTGGCTCATGCCTGTAATCTCAGGAGGCTGGGTTCTTTGGAACCTGGTTTGCAGCCAGCTTGGGCAGATGAATTTGAGAGGCTCTACCCCCAGCCAGCTAGCAAAAAGGCAGAAGTAGGAAAATAACTCGGGTAGCAGAGTGCCAGCCTTGAGTGGAAAAAGTTAAACAAGAAGGCGGGAGCGGGTGGCTCACGCCTGTAATCCTAGCTACTCAGGAGGCTGAGATCTGAGGATCTCAGTTCAAAGCGAGTCCGGGCAGGAAAGTCCCTGAAACTCTTATCTCCAATAAACCACTAGAAAACTGGAAGTGACGTTGTGGCTCTATCGGTAGAGCACTTGCCTTGCTTGAGCTGAAGAGCTGAGGGATAGCGCCCAAGCCCAGAGTTCAAGCCCCTCGTCCGACCAAAAAAAAGAAAAGAAAAAGTTAAACAAGAGCATGAGGCCCTGAGTTTAACCCTAGTATGGACACACACACACACACACACACACACACACACACACAGAGGAACCTATTTTCCTAATTTGGGTTCATTCTCCACAAATTTTTATGCAGTGTAACAGTATTGAACACAAGTATGTTTGAAAGTCCAATGTGGTACAAAAATATATAGAGAGAATATTATTTATATCTAACATTTCATAATTTGGGACAGTCAGTAATTTGTATAGCCACAAAATTCAAAGTATAATGATACAGATTTACATTTTTTTAACTAGTCTTGGGAATTGAACTCAGGGCCTGGATGCTATCCCTAAGCTTTTTTTTTGGGGGGGGGAGGGACGTCTGGTCATGGGGCCTGAACTCTGGGCCTGGGTGCTATCCCTCAGCTCTTAAGCTCAAAGCTAGCTCTCTACCACTTGAGCCAACAGCGCCACTTCCAGCTTTTTTTTTTTCTGCTTATGTGGTGCTGAGGAATCGAGCCCAAGGCCTCATGCATGCAAGGCAAGCGCTCTACCACTGAGCCACCTTCCCAATCCTCCCTAAGCTTTTGTGCTACAGGCTAGTGCTCTTCCACTTGAGCCCAAAAGTGTAGAGTACAGCTCTACTCAAAGCTTTTTGTTGGTGAATTGGAGATAAGAGTCTCACAGACTTTTTCTGCCTAGGCTGACTTTGAACCCTGGTTCTGATCCTCAAATCTCAGTCTCTTGAGTAGCTAGGATTACAGGCATGAGCCATCAGTGTCCAGGTAGATATGATTTTTAAGTGGACTCTAATAGTTGATTTTAATGAAAATGTATTTTGGGCTGCAGTAGTTTAATCCTTTAAAAGAAAATTAGAACAAAACAGAACAAAATGCTAACATATTAAGAAACATACCTTGAAAATATTGGAAAGAAAAAGACTTTGAAAACCACTTTGTTTTACCTGAGTAACGTATCTTCCTTTACGTGGAGTTGTTCACTGTCACGATGAATAAGGAAAACTCCCTGATTGGCAGTTCACTGTCTATCTTCTCTGTTGTAGATTTTCGTGTGAAATTTATAACTGTAGAGACTTCAGGACTTATTTGTGAACTGAAATAGTTTAAAATGTACTACTCACAAGGTAGATACATTAGCTAACACACTGAATACATTCTAGAAAATCTTTTATTGTTGTAGTGAATTGGAGATAAGTAAGGAGAAACCAAATTCAACCATATTTTTACTTGTAACTTTACAATTTTCTCTTATACTAATTGTGATTCTGGTTACTGCCAGCTGTTGCTATGTGAGTCGAAGACTTAGCCAGCTATCAACTCATGATCCGTTATGGAGAAGACATTGCAAAAAATACTGGCTGATATCAGAGTAAGTATTCACACTATGTATTTTGTATATGTGGAAGAGGGTGGATGAAATTTCTTTAGACTAAATTTTAACTTTGTGGTTTTCATTAATATATACAGTAATTTGTACATACTATGAGTTAATTTCTGTGAAATAACTAAGGTGAACATTTCTGTCTTCTTTATGTTGGGAACCTTCCAGTTCCTCTTAGTTCTCATAAAACTATGTAGTATAAAATATAAAATAAATTTTTATAGACTATAGTTCTGTGTGCTGTAGAAAATTAGAATTCTTTCTGTTAGCCAATCTCCATCTGACCCTCCTCCCTCTCTTTCCTAGCTTACACTTGGAAACTGCTAGTCCACCCTGATGTTCCTTTCTAACCCTGGTTTCTCTCTCCTTTTTCAGCTCTTTGTGTCTGCCAGTAAATGTTAGTGCTCTCTGTTCTTAGCCCATTCCTGTTTACCTTCATGAGTGCTACTTGCCACGTTTAGAGCAACTACCCAAATCCTTCCCTTTCATATCCCCAATGGGCTCCAGGCTTCTTGGCACAACTGTCTACTGTAGGATATTTCTTTTGGCCATATGCTTGAGCTGGGTTCAGCAAATGTTAACAGATTTGCCAGAATAAAGTGAAAATGACAAACAGTTGGGGTGTGAATGTTAGGAATACTGTCTTTTCTTAGCTTGTGGGATGTCAGCTTGAGACTGAAGTTGGTAAAGTGAGAAGTGAAAATTTAAGTACTATTGTTTAAAGCTGCCAGCTTTAGTTCTATCAAACACTAGGAAAAGGAAGAATGGAGGAGTTCTGAGTGTTGTTGTGTCCTTGCCTTTAATTTTGTAGGGTCAGCAGCTACATACTAAATGTATCAGATGAATGTATGTATCAAATATGTAAGCATTTAGAATTAGAGAAAAACTTCCATAAATAGCGCATGTTTTATTAGTTTGGGCTTAGAACTAGAGTCTGTTTTGCTGTATCTTTTTAATATAGATTTTAGTTTCTATGCTACTGGAGATTGAACAAAAGGTCTCACTAAACAAGTCTCTGCCAATGATCTACATTGTCAACCAAGTTCTTTGGTACTATTTAGTTTGGATAATATATATCTATATATAATAATATATAGCAATATATATAATATAATGTCAACATACTAATAATATATAATATAATAATATGTACTGTTAATATAATGTAACAATGTATAATATATACATAATATATAAATAATATATATTATTTAGAGTAATTAAAAAACTGTTCTTGGGCCTGGCGCTGGTGGCTCTCACCTGTAATCCTAGCTACTCAGGAAGCTGAGATCTGAGGGTTGTGGTTCAAAGCCAGCTCAGGTAGGAAAGTCTGTGAGCCTCTCATCTCCAGTAAACCACAAGAAAACTGGAAGTGGCACTGTGGCTCAAGTGGTAGAGTGCTAGCCTTGAGCTGAAGAGCTGGAGGGACACCACCCAGGCTCAGAGTTCAGGCCCCACGACCGACCAAAAAAAAAGTTCTCTTCCCTCCTCATTCCCTGCCCAACTCCTCTCTTTGAACCAGTGTGGTAGGTAGTATATGCCTGTATTCCCAGCATTTGGGAGGCAGAGGAAGAAGGTCAGACTGAAACTATCCCAAGATAACAAAAACAAATTTGTTTTTTGTTTTCCCAATATCTAAACCTGTTCTTCTGCTTCCTAGTCTTCATGGCAGCACCTTCCATCTAGGTATTACAGCCAGAATTAGGAGTCACTCATTCTCTCTCTTTCTCTATATTATTACCGAGCCTTCCTGACTTACGTTTTTGTATATTTCTCATCTTCCTATTTTTTTGGGGGGAGGGGGGTCCAGTCGTGGGGCCTGAACTCTGGGCCTGGGTGCTGTCCCTTAGCTCCTCAGCTCAAGGCTAGCACTCTACCACTTGAACCACAGCGCCACTTCCGGCTTTTTTTCTTTTTGCTTATGTGGTACTGAGGAATCGAACCCAGGGCCTCATGCATGCAAGGCAAGCACTCTACCATTGAGCCACCTTCCCAGCCCCCTCATCTTCCTATTTTTACCTAAATACCTTAGTTCCATTGATTACTGCTCATCAGGAGTACTACAAAACCTTCCAAACCTCTTTAATGCCTCATTTACTCACTTTAATCTATCCTTCCATACTACACCATACCTCAGCTCTTTTAACTTTCCCACAAAACCCGTCATAGGGGTTGGGAACATGGCCTAGTGGTAGAGTGCTTGCCTAGCATGCATGAAAGCCCTGGGTTTGATTCCTCAGTACCACATAAGCAGAAAAAGCCAGAAGTGATGCTGTGGCTCAAGTGGTAGAGCGCTAGGGACAGCTCCTAGGTCCTGAGTTCAAGCCCCAGGACTGGCAATAAATAAATAAATAAATAAATAAATAAATAAATAAATACCCTTCATAGCTCTATTTCCTCTAGGGGAAAGTTTAACCTCATTCACCTCATTCATATCTTTTCTTAAAGTCACCTTTGGCTGTTTTTTTCCCTACCACTTTGGTCTTAAATTTATGCTTTATTTTTTTCTCCTATTATATCCTTTTGAGGGCAAAAAAAAAGTACCCTGCGGGGGGGCGGGGGGTGGCTCAAGAAGTAGAGTACCTTGCCCAGCAATAGCAAAACCTAATACTTCACAAAATAAGTGTCTTTATTTTTAGGTTTTTAATGGCTAAGTGTATACTCAGTAAATGTGAAGTTCTACCAAATAAAAATGTCATATAATTATCTTGATACTTTATGATTATCTGGCTAATTCAATGTAGATATGCTAAATTAATATTATATCATTAGACTATTCTCTAAAATAGTACTATATATAGCTTTAAAATTTTTATAGTTGAGCGGACACTTCTGGCTCACACCTATAATCCTAGCGGCTCAGGAGACTGAGATTTGAGAATCATGGTTTGAAGCTAGCCCTGGTAGGAAAGTCCATGAGACTCTTATTTCCAGTTAGCCATCAGAAAACTGGAAGCAGCACGGTGGCTTCAAAGTGGTTGGGTGCTAGTCTTGAGCACAAAAGCTCAGGGACAGCACCCAGGCCCTGAGTTCAAGCCCCATGACTGACCAAAAAAAGTTGTAATAAATTGGTATATTTTTAGCAATAAGTTAAAGTTTGAATCCCCATATTGTTCACATTATATTTTATTAAGGAGTAGAAACTTAGAAAAAATAAGTAGAAAGTAAGAAATAACACATAATTCTACTAGGTCATAACTGCTGTTAAAGTTGCCGATGTCTATATCACTTCTGTATCTAGCCTCCCTTTGTGGCTGAAATAAACAAAGAGAAGGTAAAGGAACCACAAATACCCAATAAAGTATATTGTTAAATGTTAAAAATAATATGCTATTTCAAATGTCTTTTAAAATCTTTATAGGGAAGAGAAAACACGGAAGCGTCAGTGCTGGAAATCTCTCTTCATAGACACTTACTGTGATGTAGGAAGATACATTGATCATTATGCTGCTATTAAAAAGGCCTGGGATGACCTCAAAAAGTACTTGGAGCCCCGCTGTCCTCGGATGGTTATGTCTCTGAAAGGTACTGGGAATAAAGTGTCATCCTTCTCCCTTTTAGTTACTGCTAGCATATAGTATAATATATAGATTAGTTTAAGTAACTTTGAATCACTATCATTTGTGCACGTATGCTAATTAAATCTTGTTAGTATCCATTCATTTCCACTCTGATCATTTTTATTTTCTTCTACTAATTTTGGGTTTCACTTTTGAGGTTCATCATAAGGTTATTTATTTGGAATCTTTCTGATTTTTTAAGTAAGGACTTGTAGCTATAAACTTGCCTTTCCTAACTGTCTGCCACACTCTGGTATATTTTTTAATTTTCTTTTTGATTCTAGAAAATTGAAATTTTCCTTCTTGATTTCTTCAAGGATCCACTGACCATTCAGATGTATATCATTCAATCTTTATGTGTTTGTGTAGTTTCTATAGTTTTTTTGCTATTGATGTCTAATTTTGTTCTATTGTAATCTGATAAGATACAAGAAACAACTTGTACATGCTTTATGGTGTAAAATGTGATTATTTTCAACTTTGTCTTTATTTAATTCACCATTCTTCTTTGGCCAAGGAAGCAGAACACCAATTTGTTTAAAGGACCTTTGATCTCTAGAGGAAGTGGAAATGTTATTTTTTTGCCATTCCTGGGGCTTGAACTCAGGGACTGGGCACTGTCCCTGAGCTTCTTTTGCTCAAGGATAGCACTTTACCATTTGAGCCACATTGGCACTTCCATCTTTTTCTGTTTGTGTGGTGCTGAGGAATCAAGCCCAGGGTTCATGCAAGCACTCTACCACTAAGCCATATTCCCAGCCCTTTATTTTTTATTACAGAAACAACTGATTCCACAAGATTGCTTGAGAATACTTATCATGATCTCATTTTGAAAGGTTTTGTTTTATGTGATGCTGGAGCTCAAACCCAGGTCAAACGCATACTACCACTAAGTTACACCATAGCCTTAAAGATTTTCTAGTTATTATTATTTTTAATACTTGAGTTGAACACAGTGCCTCCAGAAGATTTCTATTTTTCAACTTTATATACATTGTATGATTGTATTTTTTGTGTGTTTTGGTTGTGAGAGTCAACTGTATTATATGTAATCATTTTCCTGTTTTTGTTGCAATATAGTTCCATTATAAGAGTAGACTACGGGGTGTACATGTGCAATGTTGTTTTTTTTTCCTAGTTCTGGTTATTAATAGTAGTGCTGTAAATTTGATGTAAAGATTTTTGACACATAGGCGTATTCTTATCAGGCAAATATCTAGGGTTGGGTTTTCTGGGTTAAACTTCAAAAGATACTGGTAAATTATTCTACCAGTACTTTAAAATTTGATTTTAGTCTTAGTAGAGCTAAAGTATTGGTTTAATTTTCACTTCTCTGAGGTGGTAGAATAGTGATAGTTGTATTTCCAACTTTGCCATCCATCCATATCATTTCTTTCTTTTCCTTGCTTTATAAAAGCTATACTGTATTGGGCAGCAGTAATGATAGTATAAATCTTTGCTCAGCATTGGCGTATAGCTTCGTACCTTTAAATATGAAGCTTGCTCTAGAATTTTTGTTAGCTATTCTTTTATTTGTTTTCATTTTTTTGAGACAGGTCTGATGTAGCACAGGCTAGCCTTGAACTTCTCAGCCTCTCAAGTCCTGAGATTAAAGGCATGTGACACCATACACAGATTTTTTTTTTTTTAACTGGGTCTTGGACTCTGCCTGGAATTCTTGCTTAGCTTTTTTGCTTGAGCCATACTTTTGAGCCATACTTCCAGTTCTGGCTTTTTGTTAGTTAATTAGACCTAAGAGTCATGAAGATTTGTCTGCCTGGCCTTGCTTTGAACTGAGATATCCTCAAAGCTCAGCCACCTGCATAGCTAGGATAATAGGTGTAAGCCACTAGCACCTGGCTAGTGATGGAATTTTATCAAATAAACTCGTCTCCCTTAGGATTACCATATGATTTTTGTTATTCTGTTATGTGGTAAATTGATTTTCTGAAGGCTAACAAACTTAGGATTCCTAGACTTAATTTATTTTGATTATAATACATCATCTTTAATGTATTAACTTGCTAGTACTTTTGGGGGTCTTTTAATTAATACTTTCTGAGAGAGTTTGGTCTGTAATTTTCCTTTCTTGCAATGTTCCTATCAGGTTTTGGTATCAAGATGATGCTGCCTTGTAAAACAAGTGAGGAAGTGTTGCCTCTTTTTCTGTTTCCTGGAAGAGTTTATGTAAGCTCAGTCTTATTTCTTGCTTAAATGATTTGTAGAACATGCTACCAAGCCATTGAACCCTGCAGTTTTCATTATGGGAAGGATTTTAATTAGGGATCCAATTTTTTAGCTATAGAACTATACAAGACTTCTGTTTATTCTTATGTCAATCCTTCTTCCCTTTCTGCCTCCTTCCCTCCCTCCCTTTTTTCTTCTTTCTTCCTCCCTGTCTCTCCCTCTCTCCCTCCCTCCCTTCCTCCCTTTCTTCCTTCCTTCCTTCTCTCTCTCTCTTTCTCGCTCTCTCTCTCTTTCTCTCTCTCTTCCAATGTGTGTGCTGGGAGGGCCTGGGTGCTATTTTTGAGCTTTTTTTTGCTCAAAGCTACCACTATTCCTTGAACCACAATTCTGCTTTTAGCTTTTTGGTGGTTAATTGGAAATAAGAGTCTCATGGACTTTACCTGCTTGGGCTGGCTTATAACTGTGATTCTTAGATATCAGCCTTCTGAGCTATAGTTACAGGTATGAGTTACAAGCACCTATCTATGTCAGTTTTAATATATAATGTTTACCTACTGAATTGCCTATTTCATCTACATTTTCAAATATGTTGGCATGAAATATTTTAAATCCTTTATCTTTTTAATGTTTATTACATTTGTAGTGATAGCACTTTTACTACTTCTGGTAATAGTTATTTGTATTTTGTTTCTATTTTTCTTTATCTTCTCAGGTAGGGGCTAATCAGATCTTTTAAAAAAATCTGGTTTTTTGATTCATCCATTCTATTTATATGTTTTTTATTTAATTTTTTCATGCCTTCACTTTTAGTTTTTCCTCTGACTTGAGATTATAACTTAGATCATAGATTTTTTTTCTATCCTAATATATTTAGTACTTATCTTGCAAGTTTAGAAATGTTGTAATTTTTTTAAAAAAATTATTACCCTGGGGCTGGGAAGGTGGCTCAGTGGTAGAGTGCATGCCTTGCATGCCAGAGGCCCTGGGTTCGATTCCTCAGTACCACATAAGCAAAAAGAAAAAAGCCGGAAGTGGCGCTGTGGCTCAAGTGGTAGAGCGCTAGCCTTGAGCTGAAGAGCTGAGGGACAGCGCCCAGGCCCAGAGTTCAGGCCCCATGACCGGACCCAAAAAAACAAAACAGAACAACAAAAAAATTATTACCCTGCAACATAGTGTTTTGAGGTTTTTGTCTTGCTTTTAGGTAAGTAGACCAGGATAGCCTAACACTCAGTGTGTAGCCCTGGCTAACCTCAAACTCATAATCCTGTATTTATAAACTATTGAGTATTGGAATTACAGGTATGCTTAGTGAGTGTAGTTTTGTTTTTGTTTTTTGTTGATTGTAGGACTTGAACTCCTCAGGGCCTGGGTTCTGTCCCCAAGCTCTTTTTGCCCAAGGCTAGGGCTTTACCACTTGGAGCCACATTGCTACTTCTGGCTTTCTGGTGGTTAACTGGAGCTAAGAGTCGCGGAGACTTCTGGCCCAGGCTGGCTTTGAACCATGATCCTCAGATCTCAGCCTCCTTTGTAGCTAGGATTACAGGCACTGATTTCTTTTTTAACCCATTATATAGAGATGTATTGCTTGATTTCCTAACATTTGAAGTTTTTATTTTTTGGTAATCTTTTAGGTTCTTTTTTTTGTGTGGGGGAGTGGGGAGGGTCCAGTCGTGGGGCCTGAACTCTGGGCCTGGGCACTGTCCCTCAGCTCTTCAGCTCAAGGCTAGCACTCTACCACTTGAGCCACAGCACCACTTCCGGCTTTTTTTTCCTGCTTATGTGGTGCTGAGGAATCGAACCCAGGGCTTCATGCACGCAAGGCAAGTACTCTACCCATGAGCCACCTTCCCAGCCCTTGTAAAGTAGTTTCTATTTTAGTTTCTCTGTGATCAGAGAACATACCTTGTATTCATCTATCATTTATAAGTTATTTTGGTTAGGAGCTGGTCACTCCTTTCTGTAATCCTAGCTAATTAGGTGGCTAAAGGGGCTGAGAAAGTGGCTCAGTAGTAGAGTGCTTGCCATGCATGCATGAGGCCCTCTGTTCAATTCCTCAGTACCACAGAAACAGAGAAAGCCAGAAGTGGAGCTGTGGCTCAAGCGGTAGCCTTGAGCTGACGAGCTTAGGGACAGCACCCAGGCCCTACGACTGACCAAAAAAAAAAAGGAGGCCTAGAACTGAGGATCACAGTTCCAAACTAGCCTGGATAGAAAAGTCCATGAGATTTTTATCTCTAATTAACTACTAAAAAGCCTGAAATGGAGCTGTCAGGTGCTAGCCTTGAGCAGAAAAAGCAGAGGGACTGCACCTAAGCCCTGAGTTAAAGCCCTATACCAGCACACAAAAAAAGAAAAGTTGTTATGTTTTTTAGCATGACTCCTTTAGTAATTGTTGCATGTTTACTCAATAACATCAATAACAATGTATATTCAATAGCTATTTAGCTCAGTACTATATAATTAAATAAAAGTTATATATCTGAATCTGATTTTTGACACCCTTATTGATACTGTTTTTGTTTATTGTTTTTCTTCCTTAAGGAGAGAGGTAGGTTAGAATCTCTCAACCTGTTAGGCAGCGTTCTCAGGTAGTACACAGGGCTTTTGTTTCTTGTGTATAAACCAAGTTCAATTTTCTCTTAAGTATAGGCAGATTCTACTCCTGTGATTAGGCTCTATTATAATATGGACAAGGTAAAGTTAAGTTCTAAATAATTTGACTATCAGTTCATCCCTAATCAAAAAGAAAATTATCTTTAGTAGGCTTGACTTAGGTCAACCTTTAAAAGGGGCTTGGTTTTCCAGAAACCAGAGATTCACAGTTTAAGTGTGCTCCCTGCTGACTTTGGATAAACAAGCTGGTATGTTGTGGAGGGAATGGTAGGTGGCCTCTAGGCATTGATTACCTCAATTGCACAATTAGAACGAATCAGGTTCTACCGATAGATTAAACTGGAAGAATCCCAAGCAAAAGTTGTGTAAGAGGAGTTAGCAGCCTCAGCTTAGACAAGATTTCAGTCTTGTGATACATGTACAGAGGATCTGGTTGAGTCATTCCTGGACTTCTGACGCACAGAAACAATACATCTGCATCCTGGCTCAATTTTCTTGGGAGGTTAGTCCAGCCTACTCACCTCCCCTCAGCTGAGCCTACAGTAAAGGAGCCAGGTGTCTGTCTATGTGGGAGAGGTGCATAAGAAAAACCTACCCCATTCAAGCTGGCCTCACACTTACTTAAAAAATAAATTAGCCAGGCACTAGTGGCTCGCACCTGTAATCTTAGCTACTTAGAAGGCTGAGATCTTAGAATCGCGCCTCAAAGCCAGCTTGGACAGCAAAGTCCATGAGATTCTTAACCCCAATTATCCACCAAAAAGCCAGAAGTGGAACTGTGGTTCACCTGCCTTGAGCACAAAAGCCCAGGGATAATGCCCAGGCCCTGATTTTAAGTCCCCCATGACTGGCACAAAAAAAAAAAAGGAGAAAAAAAAATACTGAGGGTTATTTTAAGCTGTTAATATTGTAGCAATAAAACTCATGTACCCACTATTCTTGTAGATATATCTTTTTGGCATTTTAGTTCTGTCACATTATTTGTATATGTGGTGTATGTATGTATGTATGTATGTATGTGCTGTGTTATTTAGATGTATGACATGAGAAAGATTATATCTATTTAGTAAGTTCAGCCTTTTTGTCATTATAAATGTCCAGATTAACTCTTAGGAAGTTTTTGCCTTCTTTTGTTTTGTTTTGTTTTTGTCTTGTTCTTTGTCTGGGGACTAAACCTAGGGCCTCATGTATGCATAAGCATGAGCTCTAGCTTTGAGCTACACCCCTAGACCCTTTTATGTGGTCTGTTAGACTATTTAGCCCATTCATACTTAGTGTATTTGCTATGAAGTATATCATGTCCACTGTTCTTTTTTTTTTTACATTCATTTTATGTTTTCATTTTATATTCCACACACACCCCTATTTTTTTTTCCTAGTTGAAATTAAGACATGCAACTTGACTTACTAAACGCTAATGTAAATTAGTATGGTCCTCATTCCCTACCAGGGATGGGTAACATTTGAATATTTATAACATCACTTTTGGATCATACAAAATTACCTATAAACTATTGCAGATAGCATTGTATTTGTATTGTTATGTACCAAACAATTTCACAGACCTTAGATGGCCCAATAGCTGGACAGTTTTCACTCTTGTAAGTGAAAGAATGTTAAAATACCTTAATTCTAATGGTCTTCCTCCTGCCTCTTACATTATTTTGGAGAAGGGTACTGGTGGTTGGACCCACGGCCTCACATGTTAGGCAAGTGAGTGATATCTCAAATCTCAAATCCCTTTATATTTTATGGTTTTGATGTTCAACATATTCCTGTAAATGTTATTATTTTCTATATATTTAACATTATTTAGATTTCTATTTGAGATTTTTTTCTGGTATCTTTTTATTCCTTCCTACAGCCTCATGTTCCTATCAAGAATTCCTTTTAGTATTTCCTTTCATGAAGAATTGCTGCTGTTGAATGTTGCCTGGTTTGTTTGGGTTTTTTTTTTCCCCTTCCTCTCTCTTCTTCTCTCCCTCTCTTCTTCCTTTCTTTCCCGCTCTTTCCCCTGCCTTTTTCCTTTTCTTCATTGGCAACTGAAGCCAGGCTCTTATACTTGCTAGGCACGCACTTTACCACTTGAGATACACTGCTAGCCCTGTCAGATTTATTTTATCTACACTGTTGAAGGATGTATTCCCTAATCAGCAGTGATTTGTCCCCCCACCACTTTGAAGACATCATTCTTGTAAGTTCTATTGTTTTTGTTGAGAATTAAGATCTCAGTAAGTTAATTATATGTTTTTCTCCTTTCTGACTCCTTTTAAGATTTGTGTCTTTGATTTCATCCCTTTTCCAGTGCTCTGTCTAGATATGATTTCTAATCATCCTCCATGGAGTGTACAATGTTTCCCTGTTGAGAGAAAACCAAGAACTTTGCTTTTCTCTGGGCTTCAAATGACTTTCAATTATTTTTTCTTTACCTTAGCATTCTGTTTTGGACAGAACTCACTTGGCTGTGATTCTTGCACTGCTTAGCTAGTAGATGGTTAGACTTAGGCTCAATGTGTCTCATTCTCTGTCTGGTTTGCATTTGCAGAGGGTGCTCGTGAGGAAGACCTTGATGCAGTCGAAGCTCAGATTGGTTGTAAGCTTCCTGATGATTATCGGTGTTCATACCGTATCCACAATGGGCAGAAGTTAGTCGTTCCTGGGTAAGATGCTTGATTTTTTTTAAATTTTAAATGATGCAAGTTATTTTCTTCTAGAAAGTACATAATCTATAATTATCCTTCATAAATTACAAGAATACAGACTTTCCCCTTCTTCTTTATAGTGATCCAGAAGACAATCTCTATGGCTTGATTTATGTTTTGCCAAAATAAATGTCTCAGTGTCATTTCAACCTACACATCTCTTAGGTTTGACTGGGTTCAGTGGCTCACGCAGTCCTAGATACTCAGGAGAAGGAGATCAGTAGCTTGAGGCCACTTCTGGCGAAAAATTCGTGAGACCGTATCTCAGCGAAAAATGCTACATGTGCAAGGTGTTCTGCTAATTATTGCTTAGGACATTGTCACTGTGAAATTGTGTGTGGAAAAGGTGAGGTATAGTTGTTTATTGGTATGTTTTGTATGTATTTTCTCCTCAGATTGTTGGGAAGTATGGCACTGTCAAATCACTATCGTTCTGAAGATTTGTTAGATGTTGATACAGCTGCTGGGGGATTTCAGCAGAGACAGGGACTAAAGTACTGTCTCCCTTTAACGTTTTGCATACATACTGGTTTGAGTCAGTATATAGCTGTGGAAGCTGCCGAAGGTCGAAACAAAAATGAAGTTTTCTACCAATGTCCAGTAAGTAGGAATGTGTTTACTTGTGGCTTCAGGATACTTTCTGATGGATCACATAGTAGTTTGCATTTTCTTTCCAGTTATATAGAATAAATTTAGAGCATTATGCATTTTAATTACTGGATAGTTTATGTTCTTGTTTTTACAGTATGGAATGCTGAAAGAAAATGTCACTTTTGGACAAACAGTGGGCACTGCTGTGTAGATAATGGGAAAGCTGGCATTTCTGTTAAGACCTTTTAAGTTTAAAGAAAACTAATGAAGAACTTATCAAAATAATTATATTTACAGTTTAGCTTTTGAATACCCTAGAATTATTTGAGTTTCTTCATTCTGAATCCAAAGCCCTTTCTTGTAGCATAACAAGCCACATATCTTATTCCTTCAACTTTTTGATTGTGTTCTTGTAGGATAATTTATTAATTCACTATAGCAGTGATAGCTTGTTGTAATTTTATCTTATGGACAAGTGCCTAGTCATCTTCTAACAATCTTAAAGGAAGGCCCTAAAAATAGAGACAGATTCATAGGAGCAGGACCTGAAGAGTGTGAGGGCTGAGTGCTGGTTGGAATCTTTACATTTTGTTTTACTTTGTTTCATAAGATGTTGCAAGTAACAAACAATGAGAAATGTATTTATGAATTACTTTTTTTTCTCTTCTAGGACCAAATGGCTCGGAATCCAGCTGCTATTGACATGTTTATCATAGGTAGGGAAAAAAGCCATTTTTTCCCTTTTTCCTCCTGGTTAAAATTTTTATAAAGATTGGTAAAACTTCAGTTAGTTGAGCAGCTGACATGCCTGGATTTGGTAAAGTTTTCTGGCTTGTAAAGTAGCCTCTAAGTTCTCATTGGAAAAGCACTTCTGTTTTCTTTAAGTATTGTTTCTATTTGAAAAAAGCATATGTTGTACAACCTTATATTCTTAGTCCTCTTCTTGAATTGCAGTATGTATATAGTTCTTTTAACATGTGTGTATTATTTATTGAGCATGTAAATACTAAGACATATTTTTCTTTTTTGTGTCTGATGATTCAATAATAAGATATATGCCTCAGAAGCAGCAGTCTTTATCACCAGTATAAAATACATGCTTCATAACTTCTTCACACACCTAGTTTTCCCTGGCCATGGAAGAATATTTCTTAAGTTTTTATGGATTTTAGGTTAGTATGCAGGCATGACTCACTCTTTGCTAGCCATCCTATCTCCTTTTACTTAGATTTTACCCACTTAAAAGCTTCTGACTATCCAACTTTTTAAAAGCATTTCTGACACATGAAATATCCCCACATAGCTGGGCACTGGTGGCTCACGCCTGTAATCCTAGCTACTCAGGAGGCTGAGATCTGAGGATCGCAGTTCAAAGTCAGCCCGGGGAAGGAAAGTTGGTGAGACTCTTATCTCCAATAAATCACTAGAAAACTGGAAGTGGTGCTGTGGCTCAAGCGGTAGAGTGCTTGCCTTGAGCTGAAGAGCGCAAGGACAGCGCCCAAGCCCAGAGTTCAAGCCCCACAACAACAACAACAACAAAAATCCCCACATCGTAATCTATAGTAGAGAGGGCACTTGGTATAACTCAGTGGTAGAGCATGTGTTTAGCAAGTGCAGGACCCCAGGTTCAATCCCCAGCACTATTTAAATTTTTTTTTTTAATTTAAATAGTGAGCCTGTGGCTCACGCCTATAATCCTAGCTTCTCAGCATCACAATTCAAAGCCAAGGCAGAAAAGTCCGTGAGACTCTTATCTCTAGTAAACCACCAGAAAACCAAAAGTGGTGCTATGGCTCAAGTGGTAGAGTGCTCGCTTGAGCTGAAGAGCTGAGGGATAGCGCCCAGGCCCGGAGTTCAAGCCCCACAACTGGGGGAAAAAAAAGTCTTCAGAAGGGAGGAGAAATAGTGTTCTTCCTAGCTAAGGTGTCTTTGTGTAAATCTTCCTACTAGAATCTTGAATGGAAAACAAATGAATTAGAAACTATAAACAGAAGATACTCATTGTTGTACGAGAAATAATTATAAATATAAAGATGCTTTGAAGGTAGTTATTGGGGTCTCTGATGTGAGTTGAGAAAATGCCAAGGAAGAGTTAAGGTGGATAAAATTGAAAATAGAAAGTGAACTGGTAGAGTACCAGAAGAATTTTAGAACATTTTAAGCATAGGAAAATTACAATTCATTGTCCTGTGTGCATATTTTACACAAACGATTTGCTCATTTTCCCCTTTTTGTATTATAGGTGCTACTTTCACTGACTGGTTTACCTCCTATGTCAATAACGTTGTATCTGGCAGCTTCCCCATCATCAGAGACCAAATTTTCAGGTATTTATTTCATTTAGGATTTTTTGGGTATAATTGAGTATAATTCATGAAAAGCTGTCCATCGCAGTGATTGAGATGAAGTGTCCCCAAAAGACTAGTACAGAACCTCTTATTTTATTTTATTTTTTTTTTGTCGGTCGTGGGACTTGAACTCTGGGCCTGGGCGCTGTCCCTCAGCTCTTCAGCTCAAGGCGAGCGCTCTACCACTTGAGCTACAGCGCCACTTCCGGTTTTCTGGTGGTTTATTGGAGATAGGAGTCTCACGGTCTCTCCTGCCCGGGCTGGCTTTGAACCGCGATCCTCAGATCTCAGCCTCCTGAGTAGCTAGGATTACAGGTGAGCCACCAGCGCCCGGCAGAACCTCTTATTTTAAAACTCTCTTACTCTCACTTTAAAGTAAAAATACCACAGCACTTAATTAACTAGCTTTTTTTTCTTGAGAAATCAAGATGAAAAACTGACTTTGATTTAAAATCTATGGGTTGGTAGTAGATATATTATTCTTCCTTGTGAAAAAAAAGAAACAAAGGTTGTTTGTCAGTTATTTGACTTAAGCAGTAAGTCATCAGCTAATAACTCCTGGCCAATATTGTTTATTATCTCTTAAATAGAACATTCAGGTGTTATAGTTAATCCTAGAGGTGATATTAGTTCTCAGTAGCCTTTGTGGCTGAAATAACAGATTAATTATACATTAAAGGTTTTTAAATTCAGGAATAAATAATAATTATATATTACAGGCAAATTATACTTTCATATATTTTATATATTTCTGGGCATAGCCAGAGGCACCATTTAAAAAATAGACAGATGTTCGTCAAGCTTTCCTAGCTGAAAGTGAGATAAACTCTTTTTATTTTCCCTCCATTATTTGAACCATTAATGATAGATCCTTGATGGCTGTCATTGCACCAGAGTCATCAATGTTTTCTAGTATGGTTGTAAGTGTCTACATTTACCTGTAAACAGAATTTAAAGTTGTAGTATAAGTAAACAATTGTGCATTGCATCTTTAAACCTTTTATCTTTTTGGAGTTGGTTGATTTTAAAATATTTAATTCTTTTAATAACTAGATATATTCATGATCCAGAGTGTGTAGCAACAACAGGGGATATTACAGTGTCAGTTTCCACGTCATTTCTGCCAGAACTCAGCTCTATACACCCACCTCACTATTTCTTCACATACCGAATCAGGTGAGGATTTTGTTTTTGTTTTTATTATTATATGTTTTGTGTTTTTTAGTTGTGAAAATACCGTAGAGAGGGGTTACAATTACATCAGCAAGATAATGAGTGCATTTTGTATCAGGCATTGTTACCTCCTCCTTTGTTTTCCCTTCCCATCCCCCCCCCCCACTTTCCCTTTGATTTTGTTTTAAGTGATATAGTAGTTTTATCTCAGGGCCTTGTGCTGCCATGGCAGGTGCTCTACCATTCAGCCATGCTTCATGCTCTTTTTTCTTTTAGATAGTCTTTATTTATTTATTTTTGCTAGAGCCTGGACCAATATCCTCCTATTTTATGCTTGTTGAAGTAGCTGAAATGACAAGTATGTACCGCCACACCAAGCCTCTTCATTTAAATGGAGTCTCAGACTTTTTTTTGTCTATGATAATCTAGAACTTGGATCCTTCTGATTTCAGCTGGGGTGCCGGATGAGTAAGAGGGGGGTGGGTTTCTTGAAATTCTTATCTGGCCTCAAGCTGAGATTCTCCGAGTCTCAACCCCCTAAGTAACTAGGATTATAGGTATGAGGCACCTTACTTAGTTAGGTGAGAATTTTAATAAGTTTGCTAGGTGAGTTGGTTTCTGTCACTGACAAAATACTTGAGAAAAAATCAGCCCCGTGGTGGAAGGATATATTTTGGTTCATGATTTCAGAATTTTCCGTCCATAGTCATGTGGTTTTGTTGCTTCAGGGCCTGTGCATTGTGAGGCAGAGTATTGCGGTGAGAATGTGTGGCAGAGCATAAATGTTCACTTCGTAGTAGCCAAGGAGACACACAATAACGGGCTAGAGACAAGATACAATCTTCAAAGGCATGCCCCTCCCCTCTGAATCTGCTGACTGTCCATTCAGCTATGAATTTTCAATTTATTCCCTAGTGATATTAGCATCCTCATGATCCAATCAGTTCTCAGTAGCACCCTCATATGGGTACCTAGTCTTCAAGACAGGAACCATTTTCTTTCTTGCTTGCTTCCTTTCTTTTCTTTTCTTTCTTTCCTTCTTTCTTTCTTTTCTTTCTTTTGTTGGTCGTGAGGCTTAAACTCAGGGTCTAAGCACTGTCCTTGACTCTTAGGTAGCACTCTGCCACTTTGAGCCACAGTGCCACTTCCAGTTTTCTAGTGAATATTTGGAGATAGGAGTCTCATGGACTGTCCTGCCTGGGCTGACTTTTGAGCCACCATCCTCAGATCTCAGCCTTCAGAGTTGCTAGGATTAGAAGCATGAGTTACCAGCACCTGGCAGGAACCATTTTCTATTAGAATCACAGCAGTCACCTTTTAGTAAGTAGTGTGTGATATATTCTGTGTGCGTGTTGCTGTTGTACATTGAACACACTATATTAAATGCAATTGAATACACTGTATAAATGCATTTTTTATGGGATCTTGGGGATGGAATCCAGGGCCTTGCACATGTTAGGTAAGTACTATATAGCTGAGCTACATCCCCAGCCCTAACAGGCATTTTGAAGAATCGTTTCTGGTAAAGTTTGGAAGAAGGTGAATAACTTTTCTGCAACATAGTATTTGCAAAAACTTTGACTTCATATGAAGCTCCAAGTTCTTTCTTCTTTATTAAATTTTATGTTAGTACTGGAGCTTGAAATCATGACCTGGCCTGGGCACTGTCCCTTAGCTTTTTCACTCAGGGCTAGCTTTCTACCACTTGCGCCACAGTTCCAATTCCAATTTGTTGTATGTGTTAGTCCTGGGTCTTGAACTCAGGTCCTGAACACTGCCCCTGAGCTTTTTTGCTCAAGGCTGGCTCTCTCTCCACTTGAGCCTCAGTTGTACTTCCAGCTTTTTAGGGGTTAATTTGAGATAAGACTCTTACAGACTTTTCTTCTTGGGCTGGCTTCGAATCTTCCTTCAGATCTTAGCCTCCTGGGTAGCTGGGATTACATATCTGAGCCACCAGTGCCCAGCTACTTATTTTTGCACATGTACAAGGTATTTTGGAAAGTGAGGGTCACTAAGTCATAATAATCAAAGCTCTATTTTAGTTATAATGCGTTATTGAAGCTATCTAATTGCCAAACATGAAAGTATGCATTTTAAATTTCATCTGGCTATATTTAATTTACAAGTCTAATAAATACGTACTTCATGTATGTCATATATTGCCATTATCATTGGAGTTAAAAATGAGTATTTTAGACTTAGTATTCTGTGCTCTGACATAAAGACAGCCCATTGCTTCAAGAGATTAAGGCTATTTTGTTTGAAATGTATTTATTCACATATGCATATGATTCATGTATATCTAATGGAAATATTTTAGTAATATATACTTACCAGAGAGCATTTTGGGATTTTGGTATTTTTTGCTATATTTGGTTGCCTGTTTCATGTCCCATCTTTATCCCAAGATAAAGATGCTGTACTGATGTTTAATTTAGATCCTGCCTAGGATGGAGGCATGTTTAAAATAAAAACATCCACAATGTGCTTCTGTTTTTCTCAGTGAAAGTAAGAGAGTGGATTCCTAGAAAAAGGATGAATAATGGGTTTGAGCTTTTTTAGAAGTTAATGGAGAAAAGGACAAGGCTCTGTAGTTTTGTGACGAGTGAAGGAATTTCAGTTCTTTAGAAGTCATTTGTGGTACTATTCTAGAAAGCATTTCCAAATAGATCTTTCTTGTGGAGCAAAGGATGGTTAACACCATGTTTTGGATATTCCAGTTGCCCTTCCCAATGCTGATGCTCACTGGAAGTTAAGGTCATAAATTGACTAAAAGCATTTCTATGGGGAATTAGGCTAATGAAGGCAGTATCTTGGAGAACTTAGAAAAAATAACCACTTAACATAAACCTTGGTTTGGTTTCTTTTGGAAATATCCTTTTCTATTACTAACCTTAATACAGTATCTCTAAAAGCCAAGAAAACAAAACCAGATATAGGCCAGATTTATGTCTTCACCACTCCACTCCTTTTTCCAGGATTGAAATGTCAAAGGATGCTCTTCCTGAGAAGGCTTGTCAGTTGGCTAGTCGCTATTGGAGAATAACAAATGCTGAAGGAGATGTAGAAGAAGTTCAAGGGCCTGGAGTAGTTGGTATGTAACCCAGGATTTAAGTGTATACCTTACTTCCTTCATACACTTCACATCCATAAATGTACTGCATAGAAGTTACTGTTTTACCATTTTAGCTCTATAACATTAACTTTTCTGAAACTAATGCAAACTCAATTATTTAGAGATTGATTTTCCTTTCTGTGGATCACTTGAGATCCCTTGCCTATCCTTGTAGTATTTTGTTTGTTTATATGTTTGTTTCTGTTTCTGTTCATTAGTGATACTATGGGTTAAACTCTGGGCCTTAGACTTCATTCATTAGGCATACTGTCTACCATTTGAACTATATTTCCAACACTTTTTGTTTTAGTTATTTTTCATGTAGAGTCTTACTTTTCTTGTCTTAGCCTGCCTGAACTGTGATCTTCCTCCCACTTTATACCTCCCGCATAACTAGGATAATAGGCAAACACTTCCCTGCCCAGCATTTTTTTAGTTAAGATAGAGTCTCTTGAACCTTTTGTCGACAATTGCCTCAAACTACATTCTCCCAATCTCAGCCTCCCAAGTAGCTGGGATTATAGGTGTTTGCCACTGCATCTGGTTTATTATTTATGACTAGTTATACTCAGTGTATTCTGTTAGATGACATAGGACAGAAAGAAAATAAATTTCATATTGGTAATCTTAAAGTTTGGAGGACGTTATTAAAATTTATAGTACAGATTTTTTAAAATATATTTTTATTGTGAAAATTTATAGTACAGATTTTTTAAAATATATTTTTATTGTGAAAATACCGTACAGAGGGGTTACAATTACGTGGGCAACATAATGAGCACATTTCCTGTCAAGCATTGTAGCCTCCTGCTTTGTTTCCCCTTCCTGTCCATTCATATCCTCCCCCCTCCCCCCCCATCCTCCCCCACCAAAGTTGTAAAGTTCGTTTTTCCACATAACGACTTGTACATCTCATTGTTGCAATGGGTCCTCCTGTATCCCTGTTTTTACAATTTTATAGTACAGATTTTTTACTCTGTAGAATTTATTTACTTCAGTTCTGGTTACCATTACATTGAGCTTTTTTTTTTTTTTAATAGTAAGTTATGCTTATCCTACATTTCTGAGCGGTCAGATTCTTCCAGTTTAAACATGTGTTTCAGGAAAATATACATAAGCTATGAACTTCTGTCATAGTAAAGTTATATGCGTGTTCTATGTAGAATTTGTTTTGTGGTGCTGGGGATTGTGTCCAGGGCTGTTCATATGTGAGGCAATTACTCTACCACTGAGCTAAATCCCTAGTCCAGAATACATTCATGGGCTACATGTTTACTTAATAAACTTTTCTTGGACTTATTTACAGACCCAGTGTTTAAGAATTTTATTAAAATGTAATTCTTTCTTGTCTTTTGATCCATTGGTATAAGGACTTTCCCTTGAAACTGACATTTTGTCTGGTCTGAACACTTCAGATATCTCTTTACAATTTTTTGTTTTAGTCTCTTGCTATTGAATGTTACACTTTAGTTTCTTGTTGCTTTTTTCTCTACAGGTGAATTTCCCATCATCAGCCCAGGTCGGGTATATGAATATACTAGTTGTACTACATTCTCTACAACATCAGGCTATATGGAAGGATATTATATCTTCCATTTCCTGTACTTTAAAGACAAGATCTTTAATGTTGCCATTCCCCGATTCCACATGGCATGTCCAACATTCAGGGTGTCTATAGCTCGATTGGTAAGTTAAAGTTTTCTCTAGTGCTGATTTACCTGACTGTAGAATTAAACTCTACAGAAGATCTTTGTTTATTCAGACAAAGGGCTTATAAATGCTGCTCTAGAAAATCCTGGTGATTCTGAGGCAGTATCTTGGGGGCCGTATGAATATGTTGGGGAGACATAGTTTACATTTAACAAGTAAGCTAAGCTCCTCATACTTCAACCAGAGAAACTCTTGTGTTACCTGTTTTTAGCTTCATGGATTACATGTATTAGAATATGAGAAGTGCCATACTAGACCACTTAGAATTGGCTTTATTCAGAACCACTGAGTGTTTGCTGACAGTTTACTCCCTGACTTCTGAAGCTATCCAGCATGCTTCATAGCCTATATTTTGGCCTATGATCTATTGCCTCCCAGACTAGATCAGTGAGTAGGGACTGAATTGTCTAGATACTATGTAGAAGAGTGGCCAAAATTAAATTTTTCTGCTAACAGATTAAGATTGCATGTTTTCTCAGGAGCAAAGTAGCACCTTTATTTAGTTCCATTCCCATTGTTAGGGTCAGGAGCCACAGGAAATAAATTGCCAGGCAGTGACAGAGGCCCAAACTGCCTTATCTTGTAATACCTTCTTTGGAATAGTCTTAGGAATCATAAGTGGGGCAGGAAAAGTGGAAATTTCTAGCTGTGTAGTAAGGGAAGCTGTGCCAACTGTACTGTTACCAGAGCTACCTTGAAGTCCATAAGGAATGTACTTTCTGTTAGACACTAACAGCATGAAATGATACTTAAGGCCATTATTGAAACTGGGGGGCTGACTGGGGTGGGGGTGGTGCTTCTTGGGGGTTTTTCCTCTTTGTAAACCTGACTGACCATGTCTTGAAATCATAGTAAGCGGAGGCCTCTTGCCTTAGTGCCATGACAGGATCTGAAAATAGGAAACCTAAAGGTGACTGACGGAATTCTTTTTTCTATGAAGGAAGGTACTCCTCTTTATCCACTTCTGCAAGATACTTACTTCCAGAAACTGTAGAGCAGGAATTTGGAGGGGTGGGGAAGCAACATTGGGCTTTTTAACTCAGTCTCAAACTGGTTAGACACATACTCTGCCACTTGAGCCACATCCCAATTTTCTCTTTTCTTTTTGCCTTCCTTTTCCTTTCTTCTCTCCTTCCCTCTTCCTTTTCCTTCCTTCCTTTCTTTCCCTCCTTCCCTCCCTTCTTTCCTCCCTCCCTCCTTTCTTTTCTTTTTTCCCCCTCTCTCCCTCCTTCCCTCCCTCCCTCCCTCCCTCCCTCCTTCCTTCCTTCCTTCCTTTACTTTATTTGATTTCATTAAGCCTGGAGGAAGAAGAGTCTTTAACTCCCACTTTTTCTGCATGGGGAGCAGTAAATGTTTCTCCCTCAAATTTTCCTTACTTTAACTCTGTTTTGCTAAAATAAATCCTTGCTAGCTTGAAAAAAAAAACTATAAGGAAAGAATTTCTTTACAGTGTTTTTAGTTTTAGCAAACTAAAATTTCCTCTTGAGATGACTCCGAAGGAAACAGAATGGGTGGATGTACACTTGTAAGTCTCTTTCTGGGCTCCTTCCTCAAGTCAAGCCAGGTATATGTTTACAACCTCACTTTTAGGATTACCTTGTGGAACACCTATAACCTTAGTCTCAATCTTATGGACTACAAAATGATTAGGTTAGGAAGCTCCAGTATACAATAGGAATAAAATAGTCTATCTAGAATACAGCAGAGCTGTCTGCCTTGAGCATTAAGAAAATGCTCTCCAGTTCCTGGGATGGCCCATGGGTGGGTTAGAGCTCATTCTGGGAAGATGCACTTGATGTTAGCCTGACCACAGAGACACATTCACACCTCCAGTTTGGAAAGAAAAGGGTGATGATGAAACTTTAGGCCATTACACTTACAGTGTGATGAAAAGGACCTATAATCTAAATTTGGAAGCAAAGCTTTAGTCTTCTTCCCCATGGAGGAATGCTATAAACTGTTGTCAGTTACTGGGAATTTGCTTCTCCTTGTAACAGACTTCCACTTTTGACTAGCTCAGTTGTCTCTATGAGCTCCATTTCATCTTGTCTTTAAATGGTTGATAATCAGCAGTGAAGCTATCTGGGACTTTTCTTTATGGGAAAAAATTTAAAATATGAATTAACTTCTTTAACATTTATATTTTCTATTTCTTCTTTCAGTTTTGGTAATTTGTGCCTTTCAAGGAATTTATCCATATCATCTAAATGTTGAATTTATTGACGTAAAGTTATTCCTAATAGTCCCTTGATATCCTTTTAATGGCTACAAGAGCTGTAGTTGTAAATCCTTGGTTCTTAATACTGGTAACTTTTATCTTCTCTTTTTCCCCATCACATGATTACTATCACTCTTGTTGGTCATTTAAAGGAAAAATTTTTGGTTTTACTGACTTTTTTTTCTACATATTTTCTATCACATTGATTTCTGCCATTGTCTATTATTTCTCTTCTACTTTCTTTGGGTATTATTTGTTTTTTCCCTAGCTTTTTAAGGTAGAATTTTTAATGCTCAATTTTAGGTCTTTGCCTCTAAGCACTGTTTTAGTTGAACTTTACAAGTTTTGATGTGCTGTGTAACTTAATTTTGATTTGTAGCTTTTATAGAAAAGTGTTAACTTCCACACATTTAGAAATTTTGAATTATCTTTTGGTTATTGATTTCTAATTTTATTGTGGTTAGAGAACTTAAACTCTGTACCTTTACTACTTTTAAATGTTTTATGGTCCAATATTATGTAAAGACTTCATATATCTTGCTTTGTGCGTTTGAAAAGAATGTATATTCTGTGATGTGGGGAAATACTATTATAAAAGTGACAGGTCAAACTGGTGGATTGGTTGACAGGTTTTTTTAATGTCATCTGTATATTCATTGCTCTTTTGTTGTTGTTTTGTTCTGTCAACTACTGCAAAGAAGATTGTTGAAATCTCCAACTAAAATTATGATTGTGTCTAGCTCTCTTTGTCAGATTTGCCTCATGTATTTTGAAGCTTTATAATTTTGTGCCAATGTGCTTAGGATTGTTATGTCTTTTTAATGAAGTGATTCTTTGACAGTTACTAAAATCTCCTTATCTCCAATAGCATTCCTTGTCCCCAAGTTTAAAGAACATTGAGGTTTGTTTTGGCAGATAGTTTGGATACTGTTGGATCAACTCAATTGTATTGATGCTTGTTTTTAATATTTGTTGGATGTGTGTAAAGTTCTCTTTACTGAAGTATGATGGTTCCCATGCATTTCAATCTCAGACGCGTTAGGATGTCTAAAACCCCCTGATGACTTCAACCAAACTCTTGCTTAGATGGATTACATTAGTATTTAGTATACTAGAAATTAAAACTGAGAAGTTTTATAATATTTACCTATTAGTTTCTTTTAAAACTACAATAAATCCATTACATGCTTAATACCTCCTTCAACCATGTGTTTACTTATTTAGTTTTAGTTTCTGCCTAACCACATATAAATGTATAATAAAATCATTAGAGAATATTTTCTCTAAAGGGTGAGAAATCAATAGAAACAAAGAATAAGTCAGGACTTATTAAGACTTAATAAGACTTATCAGTCTTACTACCATCATTTAAAAGGCCATGGGGGTTATATTTGTTGACTTTTTGTTTCTGTTTGTTTTCTTGAAATGGAAGTTGAATCATTTAGTGTCTCTTTTGCCCTCTTCCAGCCTGATGAATTAGTAGGCTTAGGAATTCTTCATACTTTGCAAGTTTTAAATACTGTACACTTTTGGCTAGTCTTGTGCTTTTCCTTGGTATAGGGTTGTTTTTGTTTTTGTTTTTGTTTTGCTTATGTGAGGGCACTGCAGGGCTTCCTGTCAATCATTTAACATCCATCTTTCTTTTGGTTCCCTTTTCACCTACTCTTTTGCCACTCAGTAGCCTTTAACAGGAATGTCTTCTTCATTAGCATAGTTGATAATCATACTATGTGGTTATCATGTATTGTAATTTCTGGAGCCTTCCCCATTATGCATTTTGGATCTCTCTCTGAGATCCAAAGACTTCATCAACGCAGTTAAAAAAAATCCAAATATACAAATAATGAAATATAAATCACATCTGTTTACCTTTTTGTTACTGTTCTTGTGTCATAATAAATCCTGTGACATATTTCCTTTCTTCTACATTCATGTGTTCATTCAGCATTTGAGTACTATAGCAACTAGTGGGATCAAACTTCTGCCTTGGAATTTACATTCTAATTGGAAGAGACAAACTGTAATAAGTAAACACTATCTGCATGTGTCAAGTAGTAATGTGCCATGGAGAAAAACCACAGTATAGGGAATAGAAGGAGTATATTACTAACATCTAATAGACAGATGACGGAGGAAAGCCCTGGTGACATGTAAACTGAGGCATAAAATGATTGGAGGAAGCCAAATGTGCAGGAAGATTATTCAGCCAAAGGAGCAACAAGTTTGAGGTCCAGACGTTCTTTGTGCTTGGTGCATTTAAACTAAGGAACCTGGTTCAGTTCCCTGGGGAACAAGGGAGTTGGAGGTGAGATCAGAGGACAGTGGGTGCTGAATCATGTAATACTGGTAAAAGTCTTGATGTAGGCTCAGCTTGGTAGCACATGCCTATAATAACAGAACTAGGGAGTTGAAGGCAGGAGAAACTCAAGTTTAAGACCAGTCTAGTCTTCATAGCCCTGTCTCAAAGAAAAAAAAAGTCTTGGTGGGAAGACTTTTGCTAGCCTCATGCACCAAGTTTTCCTCTGAAACCAGTTAGATTTTGGCTGCTCAAAATTCTGGCTGATATTGCAGCTACAAGTCTTCAAATGTGCGAGAGAGAAAATTGGCAGTCATGCAATCAAGGTTTGGTTAGAGAGAGGCACTCGTGAAGCAGAATTGCAGTTTCTAGATGTTCAGATACTGTGTGTTCCTCACTGCTGCCTTCTGGTGCCTCCAACAAGGGAACGTAAGGCTACCCTTTTCCCCATGTGCACTTCTAGTAAATTGGCTAAGTGATGCTTCTGAGGCTGCGCTGGGAATAACCTCAATCTAGTTCTCTGGACCACATGCATTTGGTGCTCTGATCGGTTGTATAAGAAATCCAACTACCAGAAGCTGCCATGCTAAATCACTCCTCACACAGACAGGAAGAAGCACCCAGGAGCCCCAGATGTTTGTCTGCAGATGTGTGGATCATCCCAGTCCAGGTACCAGACGTGTGAGTGAAGAAGCCCCCGAGGAGACTGAGGCCAGGTCCAGCGATCATCCGACCGTACCCCAAGCTAGAGGCACCCCATTGGTGCTTCCCAAATACCAACCATAGGAACCAAGAAAGAATCAATGACTGTTGTTGTTTTAAGCCACTGAAAAAAAATAAAATAATTTATTTCAAAAGAAGAGGCTATTGATGTTTGAATTAAAACCATGAGTAGTATAGCAGGAGCTCAGTAAAAATCATCCAGACCTCTGATAGTACATAAAAGCTACCAGCAGAGGTCATACCAGATTGGTATTTTCACATCCTCTTTTCCATATGTGTATGGATTAATAAAAAAATGGTTCTTTAACACATTACTGTGATAAATTCAGTAAGCCTTGGCTTATTTCAAGTGATTTATTTGCTACCTTGTGTGTGCAAAACAGTTTGTCGTAATGAAGTATATTCGCCAATACAACCATACTGAGCATTATTGAACATATGGGACACTACATTCTAGGACCTGTGTCTGCAGGTGTGTTTTGGAATTGCAATGTTCATGGCTGTGAAAACTTCACCTGGCATGTCTGGTTGTATGCATTCTAGGTTATAGATAAATTACTAATAAAAAAAAAAGCTCCTGGACATTCTTTTTTTCTATTTTTTTTAATTACCCTTAGTAGTTGTACAAAAAGGGGTTTCAAATCAACAAATCGGTTTTTAAGTACACTGCATCTTGGTCAATGTTACCCCATTCTTCTTATCAAAAGATTGTTTTTCTCTTTAGGAAATGGGTCCTGATGAATATGAAGAGATGGAAGAAGAAGAAGAGGAGGAGGAAGAGGAGGAGGAGGATTCCCCAGAAATGGAAGAAACAGAGGAAGAGGAAGAGAGGCAAAGGAGGGTCTTTGATGTTCCCATTCGCAGGCGCCGTTGCTCCCGCCTGTTTTAGACTGCCTTCTGTTGACCAAAGCCCTAGGATGTCCCTAGTCACTTAAATAGATTTCTCAATAATGTAAATAGTGAAAATTTGCTCGGCATATAGCAGGCAAATAGCATTGTTTCAGCCCTTGGCACTACGTTAAGAGTTGGGTTGTTTTCGTTTGCTTTATGGTTTTGAGGTAGATGGGAGAAATGGGAGTATATTTTTTCTCTTCCAGGAGTCAGTAAAAGTATAGCTAAGGAACAGACATTTGTTTAAAAAATATTTTCTACTTACAAAAGAATAGAAATGGCAAAGGAATTGTTTTGAATAAGGATTTCAAATGTGGCACACAAGGATAGATGATTCTGTGGAAAAACAGTTGTGAGTTACTTAGAAATAAAATTTGTAATTAGGTAATCTATTAAGCAATTCCTAATATTTTATATAATTGACTAATTCAAAATCTATGGCTTGTCTTTTCTTAGACAATCTTATGTGTGAACTGAAACTACCACATTTTTAACTAAAAGTTTTCTTCATTACAACTTGAATTTAAAGTCTTCAACATGATGACCTTGAATTTAAGTTAACAATCCTCACACTATGACCTTTTCAGATTATTTACATTTTTAAGTGTGTTTTTTCATTAGCGAAAGATTCTTCACATTGTCTCATGGATTCTAAATTTGTAAATATTCTTTGTTTTGTTTCTTTTTTATCCACTTTGTCTATTTTAGGATTAAGGATATTTTCCTAAAACACAATTTTTTGTGAATATATAATTGGGTTTGGAATGAAATCCTTCAAATGTCAAGAACTCACATTTTTAAAACAAATTAGGGTTTCAATCCTGTATTTTGTATTATTGCCTATTTCCCATAAATTAATAAGCCTTTGCTCTTCAGATAGAAAGTGTGGTTGATACTTTTTGGCCCACCACTAGAGTAGGTAGATCAGTCAGAGTCATCCTAACCTTGTGTCCCACCATCCATTTTCCCCAAGTAGGAAAAGTGGTAGGAGAAGGGAGCAGTATTCAGATCTGAGCAGCTGCTGTTGTCGAGCATGAAGGCACACCCTTTCTTATATATTGACACATCAAAATGTTCTGAAATGGGTTTCCTACTTTTCTTTCTGTTTTCTGTCAGTTACTCATTGGATAACAGTGTTTCCACATACACAATAGATGCTGGCCACAGCCTCATACGTCTCATATTTATAGTATCTCCTGAATGAATCCGTTTTCCCTTGTGCTGGATTTAAACTCATATTTTCCTATTACTTACTAAACATGCAAAATTCACTGATATGCCACTGAGAGGCGCAATATATTGAATGTCCTGGGAACTAAAAGGACTCAGAAGGTGGAAGGAAAATCTCTGATGGTTTTGCCAAACAGCTATTCCACTATAGCTATGACCTTAAGAACTAGAACAAAGTGTTGGAAGCTCTTAAAGGCTCTGCTTCATCAGAGGCAATGAGATGCAAAGATTTATGAGAGGTACCTATCAGAGAAGCTACTTATGACCCCAGTTGATGACTCAGAAATGTATCTTCCTCAGCAACATGATAATCATGGCCAAAGCGGAGTTTGCGTATAATGTTAAGAGGCTGCACCTGACAAAGATAGTGAATTTGCTATCCATTCTGGGTGGTTTAAACCATTCAAGAAGTGTTTCTTGTTGGGCTCAAGCCTATAATTCTAGCTACTCAGCAGGCTGAGAACTGAGGATTGTTCAACACCAGCCCAGGCAGGAAAGTGTGAGACTCATGCTTTCAATTAACCAGCAAAAAGCTGGAAATGACAGAGAGTGCCAGTGTTAAGCAATAAAGCACGGAGATAGTATCCAGGCCCCAAATTAAAACTCAAGTACCAGCACAAAAAAAAAAGGGATAGCTGGGCAGTGGTAGTTCACGCCTGTAATCCTAGCTACTCTGGAAGCTGAGATCTGAGGATTGCTGTTCAAAGCCAGCCCAGGCAGCAAAGTCTGTGCGACTCATCTCCAATTAACCACCAGAAAACCAAAAAGTGGAGCTGTGGCTCAAGTAGTAGCATGCTAGCCTTGAGCAAAAGGAGCCCAGGGGAAGCACCCAAGTCCAGAGTTTAAGCCAGAGGACTGGCCAAAAACAAAAAACAGTGGTGGGGTTGGGATGTGGTGGATGAATATATTTTCTTAAAAGGATTCATTTAACTTTTACTGCTTTAATACAATTTTTAGAATTATATAGTATAAAAATGTATAGTGGGGTGTGTGTGTGTGTGTGTGTGTGTGTGTGTGTGTGTAGTTTCCCTAGTGCTGGGAAATAAACCCAAAATTTTGCACCTGCCAGGCAAGTGGTCTATCATGTAAGCCATGCATCTGGTCTTCAGTGTCTTAACATCTTAATCATTTAGGTATGAAGAAGCAAAAGGGGAAGCAAAAGTCACTCTGACAAGAACAATTCCCAAACAAGTATCCACGATGGTACGCATTTTACTTATGTATAAAATACTTAGATCATGCTGGGGTGGCTTAAGTGATGGTGTCTGCCTAACAAGAATGAAAGCCTGAATTCAAACAGTAGTAATAATTCCTTTCTAAAATTTTTATCTGATTTCTTTTAGTTGCTTACTCTGGTTTATATTTAGATGTTTTCTGGTTTCTGTCAGCTCGTTCTAACCTGTCTCAGTATGTTTATATGATTTTTGTTGCTTTGTTTTTGGCAGAATTGAAGTTTAAACTCAGAGCCTCTGCCTAGCAGCTGCTCTGCCACCTGACGTCTTCTTTTTGTACTTTAGTTGTTTTTCAGGTTTGTGTTTTGGTCTAAAGAGTCTCATATTTGCTTTTTTGTTCTGTTTTGGTTTTGCCCTAGGCTGGCCTCACGCCCCTATCCTCCTAGCTATGGCCTCCTGCATAGCTGGAATATCAGGTATACATGCTACTGTGCCCCACTTATTGGTTGACTGGGCTGGCCTTGATCCACTATCCTTGTTATATCTGCTTTCCAAGTACTGGAATGACAAGTGTAAGCCTCCACAACTGGTACTTTTGGTGGCTTTTTTGTTGTTTGGTTGGTTTTTTAACATGCAAGAGAAATTACTATTAAGTATATTTTCCAGAAATATACTTACCAAAACCATAGATCATTAATAACACAGTGAATAACTTCCATTTGAAAGTATTTTGAAATATGACACATACGTATTTGTGCCACTTTAAAAAAAAAAAAAAGGATGTCCTTCTGCCCATGGAATGGCCTTTGTTGGTTGCTTCTTAGCTGGGCACACATGAAGTTAAGTAGGAGGAAAAGTCTATAGTAGCTCCTTCATTTGCTTTTATTGCAAATTTGAGGGCTAGAAGAATTTATAGGCCTCACAGATGAAAGGCGCTTCACATTTTTTAAACACTCAGTGTATAACACACAGGATTAATTGTGCTGTTTTAACAATGACACCATTGAAAAACTGAAGAACTCCAACCCAGCCATGGGCTGTTAGTGAACTTGTGAAAATCAGCACTGAGAGGTTCACATGGTACTTACTAGGCCTACAGGTGGTGGCCACATGTTCTTAGGGCAAGACTGAGGGGGAATGAATGGAGGAGTTTATATTATCTTGCATTTGGTTAAAGATGCGTTAAAAAAGGGACCCCTGGGCTGGGAAGGTGGCTCAGTGGTACAGTGCTTGCTTCGCATGCATGCGGCCCTGGGTTCAATTTCTCAGCACCACATAAACAGAAAAGTGGCGCTGTGGCTCAAGTGGTAGAGCGCTAGCCTTGAGCTGAAGAGCTGAGGGACAGTGCCCAGGCCCAGAGTTCAAGCCTCACGACCAACAAAAAAAAAGGGAGGGGAGACCCCTGTTGTCTTTTTCAGCAACGATTCTTATCTTCTCCACTTTTGTTGTCGCTGCTGTTCTGGTACTGGGACTTGAACTGGGGCACTATCCCCTTAGCTTTTTCGTTCAAGTGTGGCCCTACTTGAACTACACAGCCCCATTTCCGGCCTTTTGATGGTTAACTGGAGAAAAAAAAAATCTCACAGACTTTCCTGCCTGGGCTGGCTTTGAACCGTGATCCCCAGATCTCCTGGGTAGCCACCGGGCCCTGCTAGTACAGCGTTCTAGGTGGTAGTTCCTGTCCCAGCCAACCACAAAGCTTTAAATGCAGAAACAGTTCGTCTTGGGTTCAGCTATGGCCGAAGGGTATCTGGACCTGAGGGTGGGAAGGAAGTGTCCGGCCGCCGCGGGGCCGCAGGACTGGACAGACGGACGACGTGGGAACGTAACACGGGCTTTAGGAAACATTTTAACGTAATTTTTTTTTTCTTTAAAGTGGAGGGAATCCGCAGTCTTGCTACCTCCTGCTGTTTTTGCTTTCGGAAAGGAAAGAATCTAGAGGAGGCTTCTGGGGGTGATGAGGGGTGGTAAACCGATCCTGGCTCCGGAGCAGTCGGAGGGAACCCGAACCGGGTCTGGACCAAGTCCCTGGGAGACCTCGGGCGCGGCCGGGCCGGGCCGGGCCGGAGCTCCTCCTCTGGTGGGCGGAGCCTCGGCGGCCTCGGGAGCGGAACCAGTCCGCGGGACTCAGCGCACCAGTGACGCAGGTGCCGGCGGCCCGATCGGTGGTAGGCGCAGGTAAGATCCGAGTGCGGGAGGCGGCTTCGGACGCGCGCGCGGGGGCTCCAGGGTACCCCAGGCTTCCCTAGCCGGGGCGCCCCAACCTATTGTCATCGCGAGCCTGACAGGCCTAGCAGGGCGGCCGGGTGGGACCGAGCCGGGCCGCAGGCTGGCAGCTGCGCGGGGGCCCGGAGCCAGCGCGCTCCGTTCGCTTGTGTGCTGCGGCCTTTCGGTTCTCCATGCTGGGGCACCCGCTCCTCGCGCCCCGCGCTCCTGCCCGCACCGGGATCTCCAGGGGAACGCCTCGGGTGTAGGCGAAGACGTCGCGCCAGAACCCCACGGGTTAAGCGCCATGTGATCATCGCATAGATCTGGGCCTAAATTAGGAACAGCTTTATTTCTTTGGGTCAGCTTGGGCCTTAGTCTCCTTAGAGTCTGAAGGTCAGCTTTTAAATACGCTTTAAATATGTCGTTTTTACATATGCCTTTTATTGTCTCATGATGTTCAGGCGCGCCACTGTTAAATAGCAGTAACACCGTTTAATCTCATTTTCTCATGAGCAAAATAAGGGGCCCTGCTTCATACAGCAGCAGCTGTCAGGGTGAAATGACATGGTTCCAAGTAAAGAGAACTGGTAATGAGGAGAACCGTTAATTATTCAGGCGTTCCGGATGTGAACTGGGGACCACGTTTGTTCCAGTTCAGAAGATCTGAGAAGACACACAAACCTCAGCCGCGGGGGTAGTGAGTCGGGGTGGGGGAGGTGGGGAAGGAGGGAGGGAGGTTACTGACAAATGTGGAGACAATGGGATGATCATTTCTCATTTAGGCCTGGCAGGCTAAGAATGAGATCCCATATGAAAAACCAAACATATCCAGGGATAGAAGTTTTGACAAACGTTGCTCCAAGGGAAAATATCCCATTTTACCCAGTGGTCTGGAAAAGAGAAACTTTTAAATACAGAAAAAAGAGAAAAAGCTTTGGTCAGAGGGACTTTAGGGTGGAAGTGTCTAGAGGACAGGGTTTCTTCAGACAGCCAGGGACTCGGATCCCTAGAACAAGTTTCAGAGAGGCTTTGGCAGGGAAAACTGGCAGATCTGTGTGCTCTTGAGAGTTCTGGGTTGGTTGTCACTGACCCCACGGCCTTGGGTGGCTGGGAGGGGCTCTTCATTGTGATGGTGGGGTTTTCTACTTGCTGATGCAGCTGTTGCTCTAAATTGTGTTGCATACTTGCTACAGCAGGTGCAAAGGGGTTTAGGACACCAGGCCCTCACACACTGCTTACACTGGATTATGTTAAGCCATTTATATGTCACCAAACATCCCGGGTGGCTTTTCCACCATCCTGTTGCCTTTGGACAGGTAATTTCATCCTCGTGCCTCCATTGATCTCCCATAAAATGAAGATATTAAGGTTTTGTTTTTAAGGATATGTTTAACCTTGAAGTTCGTCGGCTTCAAACAGTAACTTTATGCTCACAGGTATGTTTGAATCCCATGGAAACACTACTGGAAAAATTCTCTTTGAAGCTCTGAGTCCAGGCTCATTCAGGCACTGGCAGCACACAGTCCTTGTGACTGAAGGACCACGCCCGTACTGAGTTCACATATTTATAGTAACATCCTTAGACTTAATAGGCTCACTTAATTTAGTTAAGCACTTCAAATACCATCCATAGGAATAACCAACTTAATGTTTGATTTGACTAAGCTCACGTGGCTGTCACTTGGTCTGGAGGTCCAGAGGTTGAGAGGAGTCGATGGAGGGAGATGCAGCCTCCTTGCCAGGGCAGGCTGCAGCGGAGGGTGGAGTCGCCTCGCTCCGGGAGGCCACCTCACCAGGTCTCTGCTGTTTTAGGCTGGCCCTTCATTTCTGGCTATGTCTGATTACCAGGGTTGCCTTGGTGAGGGCTTCGTTTCCAATCCAGTCTGGTGATCGATAAGGTCTGAGTTGGCTTGCCTCTGGCTGAGTGGTGATCGATAAGGGCTTTGGTGCTTACTCTGCAGGCTCCCTGGGTGTGTCTTTTTTTTTTGGTCGGTCATGGGGCCTGAACTCGGCCTGGGCGCTGTCCCTCAGCTCTTCAGCTCAAGGCTAGTACTCTACACTTGAGCTACAGTGCCACTTTCGGTTTTCTAGTGGTTTATTGGGGATAAGATTTTCATGGGGGCCTGGGAAGGTGGCTCAGTGGTAGAGTGCTTGCCTTGCATGCATGAGGTCCTGGGTTCGATTCCTCAGCACCAGCAAAAAGAAAAAAAGCCAGAAGTGGCGCTGTAGCTCAAGTGGTAGAGCGCTAGCCTTGAGCTGAAGAGCTGAGGGACAGCGCCTAGGCCCAGAGTTCAGGCCTCACGACTGGACCCAAAAAAAAAAAAAAAAGATTTTCATGGACTTTCCTGCCCGAGCTGGCTTTGAACTGCAGTCCTCAGATATCAGCCTCCTGAGTAGCTAGGATTACAGTGTGAGCCACTGGCACCCAGCTTCCTGTGTGTGTCTTTATCTACCCATTCCATACTTCTAACTCCTAATTTTGCAGCTTAACATTTAATATTATTTCATAACACACATACATTCACTATATTTCTATTCAATAGCCTACCATATTAATATTTAATGACACACTATGACACACATATGACATTTATATGTCACCAAATATTACGGGCTCTAGTTTCCTTGTGAGATATCAGTTAAGGACCATTCTTAGGTTCTAGAAGCCACTTGTATTTATTTCTTGGTTCAATCTCCTGTCTTCAAAAATAGTGATATGGGTTTGTCTCACCTTTCAGGTCCCTGCCTCTCCCTTCTTCCTTTTAAGGACCCAGTGTAATAGGGAAGGCCAAATGGATAATCCAGAATAATCTCTGTAATTTTAGACTGTTTCACTTGTCATGAAAGGCTGCTTGTATCAACAGGATCCTGAAATAAAGTATGACCCTCTTGTGGGAGACAGAGGCATTGTTCTGCCCAAGGCAGTTAGTTGCTTTGTAAACTGATTCTCCAACCTGTTTCTTCTGCTAATGAAAAACAGAGACGTTGACTTTATAGTATTGTTTTAAGGCTTAACTTCTTTCCTATGTCAGGAGCACCTAGCATAGAATCTGACCCTCACTACATAGATGTTAGCACAGAAACAAGGCTTACCTTTGGTGACATGTTGCAGTGGTGTAATCATCGGAACTCTGAACAATAGAAGATACTCCTAATTATTTCATTAGCACTAACAGCTCCTTTTACAGACCTGCTGGGAAAGATGCTTTCACCCCTCCACCCATCTAAAGTAGTCTTGTTGGCATGTAATCCCAACCCTTAGGAGGCAAAGGTAAGAGGATCACGAGTTCAAAGCCAGCCTGGGTTACATAATGAGTTCCCCAGGCTAGCCTATGATGCAAAGCCAGACCTTGTCTCAAAAAATAAAAGTACAGTGCCAGTGTAACCCAGTGAAGCTCAGGCTTCAGATCACTCAGATGCCCAGTGAAATTGAGAGGCATTGTTCAGCTTCTCCTTTACATAGCCTGGTGCCTGCTGCGTACCTGCTTCCAGTGGGCTCATAAATTACTACTGTTGGGATGGTAGGGAGGTGTAGGGGTCAAGGCTGAGTATACCCACCAGGAAGTTCCTCAAGAATGCCACTATTAAATAATATTTCATGTGCTAAGTGCTTTCTGATCAAGTTTTCCTGAGTTATTTATGCATTCTATATATGTGTGTGGAACATTAATTATATTTACATAGAATATGTGTAAAATGTTACAACATATTATATATAGCATAATAATGTATACATTCTATGTAATATACACTATAACATTATATATATATATATGATTATATTCATCTATTTTAATTGATGTTTGGGAGGATTGAGTTATGGATAGACAGAACCATATTTTTGTTTTCCTATTTAGGACAATGGATTATAGGCTCACACTCCAATTTCTCCCCAAATATCCAAAATACTTGCTACCTAAGATGTTTTCAGCAACTTGATTTAAAAAAAAATCAATATTAGCTTTTTAGCTTCCCCTTGTATCTTACTTAGGTGGATGGTACTGTCTTCTAGAAACAGCTATCCAACTTTGGTGCTTGACTTGAATAGGAATTATTAAATTAGAAAGATGCTTTAACGACTCAGTCAGAACCAGGTGCTAGTATCTCAAAGCCTGTAATCCAAGCAACTCAGGAAGCTGAGATCTGAGGATTGAGGTACCCAGCCAGCCATGGCAGGGAAGTCCATGACATTATTATTGCCAATTCACTAAAATGTGGAAAGTGGAACTGTGGATCAAGTAGTAGTATTTAGCCTTCAGTGAAAACACTCAGGAACAGCACCCAGGCTCTGAGATCAAGCCCCAGTACCAGCACAAAACCAGACATGCAAAATAAAAGATTGTAACAACCTGACTGAATCTCATAGTAAGAAACAGTGCTGGTTTGGGAAATTGCTTCAGATTCTTTCCAAATTCTGTTGGTGGTGGTGGTGGTATGGACATTCAGAAAGATAGTTGTTTTTTTTTATCCCTCTCTCCCACAGTCGGCCTCTTCCTTTTTTTCTTTTTTTTTTCCCCCCTTTCAGAACCTACCTTTGGAGTAAAGAGTCAGTAATTTGGGGGTGAGGGATTGGAGAGGTAAAGAGGGAATAATGTAAGGGGAAGCTAGCCTGACCCCAAGGACTCTTCTTTACCTCGAAGACAAATTTCAACGAAGTATTTAGATGGCCCATTTAGAAAAGCTGGGCAGGGCAGGGCAGGGTGGGGCATGGCTTGATAGGACTTGGCAGGCTAGGCAGGGCGGGGTAGGGTGGGGTTGTCACACTTGACGCTGTGGGAAAGAAGTTGTTAGTAGCTCTAGTGGAAGGGTGGAGAAGACAGTTACTTTACTTCTCTGAAGCAAAACCATCTAGGGAAAAAGCACCTGGCTGAGAGACAGTTCTAATATTCCTAACCACAAGGGACCAGTTCACAGAAGGGGAAGTGGGAAATCAACATTTTTTTAATCACGTCTTGAGGGAAGGGAAAATT